AATAATACCCTTTACGTCTAATTACAATTTTTATTATTATTAGCGCGAGCTAAGTAATTAATTATAGAACCAAAAAATACTCAGGAGCTGCTTTGTAAATTTATTAAAATGCTAATTTGCTACTATTATATTTATAGTAATAATTGGAAGTAAAAAAACATTATTTTGCTTAACATTCCCAGAGGTTCTTTTGATATTATAATAATCCGCTTAGAAGCAAAAATTTACTTTTAAGAAATATACATTTTACTACAGACTTAATAACGTCTTAAATCTCATTTCCAGATATTCTGTGTTTGGTACAAAGTGTTACAGTTTCACAGCGTTATTCAGTTTCTGAACGGTCGCTTTTGTTCGATATTCGCACAATACCTGACTTCTGAAATATAGCATGCCTTTGTTACGTTTCCGTAAATATTAGCAAAATTATTACAAAATCTAAAATAAGAACACTAAGTTCAAACATGTTTCACATCATATTAAAGGGAAAATATTATGATGGTGTTTTTTAATGCACACATAAACAAAGTAAAATTAACATTAGATAAAAATTACAAAATGCGTCTCAGAACTCATAAAGTTATGAGTATGATATTTTGTATATTTCAAAGTAATAAAATACAAGCTAAAATATTATATAACCATAAAGAATCTTGTTCTTAAATATTATATTTACTTTAGAAAATATGAATAAGAATTTGTACCCAACCAAAACCAACCCAAACAAAAAAGAAAATACAGGATGTCTCAATATTCCGTGGACACTACTACGTATTAAAAAATAGTGCATAAAAAGTGCGTAAAAGTGCATCGTTTGTCAGCTAGAGAACATTAAACTAAAAAATTAACACATTTTTTAGATATTTTAAGAACCGTTATTCCGATTTAAATGATATTTTTGGTGACTTTTTTGCTAAGTGCTTTAACATTTTACTTTCACAAAAATCAAGAAAAAGTACGGGAAGGACGAAAGCTAAGCCCACCCCTACATAAATTTTAATGTAAATATTTTTCAACTCCACCCATGAAGAAGATTTTCTTTTCGTAAAATGATCCCTCTAGTATTTACTACCTTTTTGTCTCTTGTAAAAAACGCCACATCCCATAGTTTTTGAGAAAACATTTTTGGAGAATTTATTTTTCCAAAGCAGGCTTACAAAATATACAGGAAGTTTCAATATTCCGTGGACATAAAAGAACTACGTATTTTTTGAATCAAAATATGCACATAGTTTACCTTTATACAAAAGTGCTTCGTTTATCCATTAGAGGGCATCAATAAAAAATAAACCCGAACGTTAATTAATTTAAAATTTATTATTTTTTTCAAGCTTTTTATGAAGCTTAGTATCAAATATAATCTGTGATACTAACATAAAATTTCATATTTTTACCAACTAGATTATTAGGGCATAATATATTTTATGCGCCTCCATAGCTTGTTGTGACAAAAAAACATTTTTTGGGAATCAGCTTTGAAAAAATAATTATTTTCCTCAAAAACTATGCGCGATGTTTTTTTTTACAAGAGACAAAAAATGTAGCAAATACTAGAAGGACCGTTTTGCAAAAAAAATCGATCGTCGGTTGAGTTGGAAAATATTTATACTAAAATGTATATATGGGTGGGGGTAGTTTTCACCCTTCCCGTACCTTTCTTGATTTTTGTGAAAGTCAAATTTCGGTCAAATCGGAATAACGTTTCTTAAAATACATGAAAAAATATGTTCTCTAACGGACAAACGAAGCACTTTTGTATAGAGGTAAATTTTGACCAATGAACTTATTTGATTCCAAAAATACGTAGTAGTCCACGGTCCTATGTCTACGAAATATTGGGACACTCTGTATATGAAACAATCATTTTTTTAAATTTTCAATGCAATTGTAAGGATAAATACATTAACAAAACTAAAAGAAATAATAGTGTTAGCTTTACCATTTTGATTTAGTATGCTCGATCAGTTCGATAATTTTATAATGAAAGCAAAATATTCCCCATTTCATTCGTTATCCTTTACAGCTACATTTAGTCGAATTTTAAAATTTTCTATCCCACTTATTGGAGAACTAATTTAAGTTCCGAAAGGGGAATTAACTCACTCATTGCCTGAATGACTATTTCAAATAAGTATTTCCAGTAAAATTTCACTAAGATTAAACTAAAACATTTTGTGAATTAGTTCAGTCAATTAAAGATTTTATTTTATTATATTTCAATGTTTTTGTGTAGAATATAAAGTATTAAATTATAAACGTTATTTTCTGTTTTAAATTTACTTTTCAATAAATGGACAAAAACATGGAGTTCTATCTACATATTTTAGTGATATAATTTTACCAAAATATATATCTATATTTATTATAAAATATGTTACATTTACAAACGTATCATATTTAAACTTGAAAACGGAGTTTTAATCGTAAGCATAAACATTAATATTTTTACTTTAACAGAGAAATGCAATATTTAATTTAAAAATGTATGATTTTAGAGTATTATCTATTTAAATTTATAAAATATTCCCCCTAACAGACTGATACCATTTTATCATGGAATAAATTTGAACAAAAATTAAAACCATACTTCCGCTTATCAATCTAGAATTTAATTTAAAGAAGTAGAATAACTTTTTGAAAGCGGGTCTTATATTTCACAGTAATTTTGAGCTGGATTTCAACTTTGCTTTAATATTAATTTTGGAGCGATTTGGCTCAACGTAAATCTTTCTAGTTGAGTGCTATTTGTAATGATATATTATGTGATTTATTTTTGGCAATTTTTAATATTTGTTTTTATTTTGACTTATATGTATAGCTTATTTCTATGTCTTCCGAGTCTTTGCTGATATTTATTGAGTTACGTGGGCCCTGAATCTGAATATATCTGGTCTGAATATCGGGTTACCTAAATATTCTTTAGCTTCGAAATTTGACTATTTTATAAAAAAAACTATACATTTTATCGTACTATGCCATGAACTAATAGCAACAGTTGTAACAAATTTAAGCATTTGTTATATAACATTTAAGCATCTGTTATATAACATTTACAAATAACTTGCGTAGTTTAGGTAATGCATTTGCAGGGTTATTCACCTCATCCAACACGGACTATTGTAGCCAAACGATTAGATTTTTACAAATTGTACGTTTTATGTTCGGCCTAGGACTATTAGAGCTACAATTTAAAATTATTTGCAAAAGGTACAGAGCGTCCCAAAACTATCAAATTTCTATTTTTTAAATGGAACACCCTGTATATTACATTTTTAGTTTCAACGATTAAAATAAATGTAAATTTGATTAAGATTTACTGGACTTTAATCTTACTTAGGAAGTGACCGAAAACAACTGAATACATCAATGAATCCTAATTTATGTCATATACTAACATACCAAATCTCGTTTTTTTATCTGAAAAAATAAAAAAAAATATCGGGCTGAACCAGTTTTGAGACGCACCCGGTATATATTTCTTACTTTTTTTTTATGAAAAATAAAAATAATATTTAAAAATTACTGCTTTTCATTTATTATTTTTATGTGTAACTTGTGATTTAACTTATAGATACATTTTTTACATGTAATTTATTATTAATTAAATTTTACCTACCTATGTCAAAACCTTTTTAGAAATTCTATAATTGTGAATGTTTAGGAAGTTTTTTAATATTTTTGAAAGTTAAACTATTTACACGTAAGTTTATATAATATTATACTATATATATATCCACTTGATTATTCTAATAAGTGGTAGCCTTGAAAAACGAAATAAAATTTCCGAAAGCTAGGCGTATGAAGGTAAAAATTGTTTAATTTTTGCCTTCCAGACCGCTAACCCCAAGAAGTGTTTTTGTTGTATTAATTAATATAAATATAATAAAATACATTTTTTAATTAGGACAGGATCTGTTAAAGTTTTAATTTAAATGTAAGAATTTAATAGACACACACATATTTTTGTATAATTTTTCATAACAACATTTTCGCAGTATTTATATTTAGGCGGTAAAAATATAAATGCACCGCCTTGCGGAATATATTATGATGTTGAAAATATATACGCCTCTTTTATTAAAAACCTTAAACTGCTTTATATGATAAGTTTAGGTACAAAATTAATTCTGGCGGTACGCATTTGGTTAATTAGCTGCAACTTTATTTATTTTTGCTCTTTCTAAGAAAATACCAACATATATGAAGATACCAAACCAAAACAACAAATTCCAAAATATTTTCCGAGTTTCAAGTGGAGAGGTTATATTGGAATATGGCTTAAGGTCAGTATTACACTATCAAATTTCTTTGTCAAAGTTTTTATTTTATAACAATTTGACAGTGCAATATGTGTGATTTTATAAAATATATATAACAATGTAAAATTTTTCATCAAATATTTTTTATCAAAGATCTTACAAAGAAATTTGATAGTGTAATACTGGCCTAAGTAAAAAATAATATAAAATATTATTAACATAAACAGCTACTTTAGGTAATGGGTGTTCTTGAAAAAAGTACAAAAAGAATTCATGGGAATATATATAAAAAAAGTTCTTTAATAGATGCGCGATATTCTAGAAAAATTTTACTTAAGATCTTATAGGTTTGACAGCAATATTTTTCAAGAAGGTAAGATCGAAATAAATAAGGTCAGTTCTTCAACTACTTCAACAATATATATTTGAAGTAGTTGATGTTTTGGGTTTATACCGAGTCTGAACCGTCCGAAAACAGAAAGTCTATATATTTTAAGTGTAATTATTATTAAGTAATTAAAAAAAGTAATAATGTAATTATTATTAACCTTATTATTTTTTTTAAGTTGTTTCTTGGGTCTGGTGGCTATGGTTAGATTAAAACAATAGTTATTCGAGGACGTTTCGCATTGAAGAAGCATGACACAATAAATGCGAAACGTCGTCGAAAAATTATTGTTTTAATCTAACCATAGCCACCAGACCCAAGAAACAACTTAAAAAAAAAATCTTCTTTTTAAGGATAATTCAACTTTAAAACGGGGCATTGGCAGGCGATGGACTAGCTTAAAACAACATCCAAAATTATCAGATTCATCAAATGACACAGGTAAGCTTTTCAAGGCTGTTTTATGATGCACGGTGTTAAACTATTTAAAAGTCATCTAATTATTTCTTATTTTTGAATGGATTTATATCAAACTATGTTATTATTATATACAAAAGTATTTTTACAGCTTTCTCTTAAAACAATAAGAGAACTTTGCTTTTTAAAAATGTCTATGGGCCATAGTTTTATTGACATCCCCCAGGTCAACCCATAATTTTCCCAATCAACTCGATATAATGATGATGTTGCCCATCAAGCAATACTACTGTTACATTAATCAATTAAGGCCGCGTAAACCAACATAACTTTTAGATGCTAATTCTCTTTTATAATAAAATTAAATAATAAAAATATTGTTGTATAATTTTATTCCCGCAGATTAAGTGAAAAGTTTTGTTCTTAAATATCTAGTCTACATATTATAAACGCGTGTTCAAATATTAATCTTGTGGAATATACAGGGTGGGTCTCAAAAGTGGCTCACCCCCTATAACTTTTTTATTTTTTCAGATAAAAAACGAGATTTAGTATGTTAGTCTATGACATAAATTGGGACTAATTGACGTATTCAGTTATTTTTGGTCGCTTTATGTTTCACCGGAAATGACTACAACTTTTGATTTTTAAATGGTACCCTCGGTATTTTTTTACTTTATTCGATAGAAAATAACACTTTGAACAGAATGACATATTATATGTCAACTTTTGATATTTTCGCATATGCTTTATTTGAAATTATAACTTTCGTTCGTAATGAAAATTTGACTTGAAATACCAAGTGTGTGGTGTCAAATTATTCGTAAAAATGCTTTTTCCAAGTATGCTAATGAGCCACCCTCGTTCCATTTTAAAAAAAATGAGATATGATTAAAAATACGATTTGGGCTTTTTTTAACCGGCCAGGACAAGACACTAAAATCATTAGACGATCAAATCTATTTTTCCAATGCTCCTTGATTAAGAATTAGTCTTTTTAACATAGCCATGGCACTCTAGATTGAGATTTAAAATACGATTTTTTATTAAGGGAGAATGTCAAAAGTTGACATATGACACGTCATTCTATTCAGAATATCATTTTCTATCAAATAAAATAAAAATATACCGGGGGTGCCATTTAAAAATCAAAAGTAGTAGTCATTTCCGGTGAAACAGGAAGTGACCAAAAACAATTGAATACGTAAATCAATCCCAATTTATGTCATATACTAACATACAAAATCTCGTTTTTTTATCTCAAAAAATAAAAAAGTTATAGGGGTTAATGTCTAGGTTTACTTATTTCGCTGAGATTTACGAAAAAGAAATCCTTTGCCTCGGGTATAGATACCGCCACGTTTTGGAAACAGCTCGAAAAGAAACAAAATTGAACGAGACAACAGGAAACGCCAAAAAAATCCCCCCACGTTTTTCTCCGCAATTTCACTAGTAGTTTTGAGGCGCTTTTAAGAAATGGAAGTAGGTCGAAACAAACCGAAATAGGTCAAGACAACTGGATAACCCGAAACGCGACAAAGTTAGTGTGTCGTTCTATTCTCCGAAAAGTGTAGAGCCTGTATATATAAATATAATAAATATGAATAACATACTTTAAATATCGACCATGTTTTTATTACAATTTTAAAATATTTACTTTAGTTTAAATAAGGACATCAGCAAAGCTAAAAAAAATATAGTCTTTTCTTTGTATACATTAATTAAGAAATGTGTACTACTTTTTACGATACTGCTGTACTTGATAACCTGTAAAGATTATTTATTATCAAATTATAACTAAATTACAGTAATTCGAATACCAGTTTTATCGTCGTAACAAATTATAATCCATTTTCCTTAAATTTCATACAAAGTAAAACAATACTGTCTATACACAGCGTTAATGATAGGCCGTAAATATATAGCAAAACAACCCTATTAAGATATGAACGGCGATTTTATGATATAATTTAGGGCGGAAAACAAACGTTTACTACATTAAATTTGCTTTTGTAGCTACTAAGTATCGCCAGATAAAGTGTAATTAAAATGGTTGTAAATAATAGCTTTTAAAGTTACAAAGTTGTCATAAAAGATGTTTAAAGCTCGAACTACAAGGTACGGTGTGTTGTGTTGATATGATATTCAATTTTAATCAGAATGTTTCTTTTGATATTATTAAACAAATAGTATAAACGATATATTATCAAATTATATTAAAAAATGACATTTATTTGCATTTATACATAATTACATAATTAATATTGCAGTAGATTTCCATTTTTAAAAACGTCTATCTGTCACCTAAAGATTTTTCTCTAAAACTCGAGTTATGGAGTATGATGAAACTGATAACAAATGTACACTTTATCATATGTATATTAATTGTTGCCAACGATGGACATATTCCGCGCCGTGCTGACTATGTGGAATTTAAATTTCCCGCTGGGATTCAGGTGGCAGGTCTGATGTAAAAAAATGTCATGTCAATGTCATTTATTTATTTATTTCCTGACATTGTCATGCGTTTTAACACTTTATTTTTTTATTATGAGTTTTTAGTTTAAATAAATAGTGTTGTAATAGTTTAAGCTTAAAAATGTTGACTAGCTGACCTTGCAGTCGAACATTGTTCATTTTAGAACCTCTTTTAGTGCGAAGTGTACAAGATATCTTAATAGCCGTAAAAAACTCATCGCAACTTCATTAGAATATTTTGGACGGGAAAGCGGTAGTAATGGCCCTTTATGTCCCTTAAGTGCTGTTAAGAAGGTGAGTTTTGTTGATGTAGCTAATAATTGTTTATATATTTATAATAAATTTATTTTTGTTTCCTAAAATATTTTGATTAAAAGAAAATATGTAAAAGTGGGCAACGCTGTGCCGGTCAAGCGTAATCACGTGAGCGTAATCAACTGTATCTGTTTAAACTAATAAATTAGTGTAATTTTGGTTAATCATTTTTTGGTGACCGATCTTATTCCGTATGAGTTTTTAAAGTAATAATAATAGTCTAATGCCATCACGAGAAAACTCTACATCAAATACTGCCGGGTTAAAGAAAAAATCCTTATCTGATGAGTTGAACAAGTTAAGGTCTTGCAGGTTTATATTTCTAAATGGACCACTTTGATATAATATAATTGCCAGATTTATAATTAAAGTGAAACTATATTTAATTTTAATTCCGAAAATGAAGCAGAAAACATTTTTTGTTCTTCTCATTTAGTTAGAAAATTCTTTTATCTTTTTAATGACATATTTGTATCTCAATTGCAGTTAACGGGTTTTTCCTTAACATGACAATGTAGGTTAAAATTACGGGCTGATAATAATAAAATAAATGCAGTTTCTACATTGGCAGAAGATTTATGTTCACAATAACTGCAGAAGACTTTGTAGAACGACCTTGATGCGATTTTATGTTCACTTGTACAAACCTAATGAAATATTTGCCATTTTATAATTTTAAAGATAAATTTCTTTGCATTACCACATACTAATTTCACTAAAAAAATAATTAAATAACTTTTCAAATATCTAACAAAAATGATGTTACGGTGTATGCAATCTAGTTTATGTGTTTTAATACATAATAAGTCGTAGTTTCGTATGGTATGTTTTTCATGGTTTGAATGGGGATAAAGTCAATTTACTTACTTATTACAGAAATAAAATTTACCGTATTTATAAAATATTTAAAAACTCAAAAGTGATATTTATAGGTTTCTAAAGAATGCCAAATATTCAAATAAAAACAATAAAACAATGTCATGTCTATTTTGAGAGCTTTTCCAGCTTCTTTTGTATCGTCGAATAACGAAAAATATGAGAAAAACGTTTGTGTCTTATATCATTTTTCAAATTTTTTGTCGTATTTTTGGAAACTTCCCAATATCTTGTTATTACAGATACCCAAAGAAAAATGTAAATGTTCCTTCACACGTAAAAAAGGAACAAAGAATTTATGGTATTTGTTTCCAATTTAGTCGGAATAAAATGTCTTTGGCTCGATAGCTTTATGGAAATTTCGTCTCGTATTTTGCGAAGTATAAAAAAAGAAGAATTTCATACGATACATTTCTTGGAAATAATAATAATAAACAACTTTTAATTTATTGCACGCTTGTATTTTATTGTATGTTTCCATATAAATTTATTACATTTATATGGAAACATATTACATTTATATGGAAACATAGAATAAATTCAGGACATTTCCTAACCAATTTACAAACACAATTTTTTTCCTAACCTAACCGAAACATCTTGAAGTATGTCAAGGTAGAATAGCAAAGACGGTTATTCCGTCTTTCTCGTCTAACTTTGTCTTGTCTCGGCTTGTCTCCGATTGTCTCGGCTTATTTTCATTTCTTTTAAAACTTCTTGAAACTACTCGTGAAATTGCGGAGAAGGGAGTGGAGGGATTTTTTTGGCGACTTTTGGTTGTCATCTTGGTTGTCTCGAGGTACTTCTACGACGCGACGTGTCGGTTTACAAAGACAAAGGACTTTTTTCATAAATTTCACTGAAATAAGTAAACGTAGACGTTTCTAAAGTGTCTGTTGTTACAATGATATTTCTTTAATTACATTTCGTTTTATGTTGATATATATTCGACAAGATTCTATATAGATAAAATAATAATAATTATGAATATTGCCTATACCTTTATGGCGAGTTCACATTTCTTCAAAATTAATTTATTTTTTTTTTCTTCTTTATTTTCAAAACATAAAATAATTACCATACATTACCATAAAGAAATATTTAAGTAAACTCGATCAAAAAAATATGTTGTATCACTAAATATCAATTCGTTTAAATGTTAGTGTGTCTTTGCCATCTTAAAATGGAAAAGAACATAAAAATTTATAGCTTTTAACATAATCATGTATGATACATACATTTATAGTTAATTCATTTGCACACGGAATATTTTTATTTAATTTTAAGTAACCAGATTTCTGGTTATTTATTTTATCAGACATAACTTGTGTGAATATTTAAGTTTATTTAAGTTAGTTATTTAAGTTTTTGGCTTTAAGTTTCATTTTAATCAATTTTAAATTTTATGTCACTTATTTTATTTAAAATAACACGGTTAAATCCAATTGTTTGTCTCTCATTGCAGGATATAAATTATCAGTACAAATTATCTAGTCAAATTGGAAATATGTATGTGCGTTATTCAATCTTTTATAAATTAATTCTCTGTTTACGTTAGAGCCGGCTACACCACTAGTTTGTGATTGTGATTTAGATTGTCTATTGTATTGTTAAATTTATATAGATTCGCTCTCTCTATTGTAATCTAAATCACCGACGGAACATTTAATTTATATAAACATATTTTTTTATATTTGAATTTATAACTAATTATGTTACACAAATTGTATATTATGCTAGGTAATAAATCTGAAGTGCTGATTACAAACAAAAATGTTTTATTTAAAGATATGTAACAATACTTAGATTGAACTAAATTATAATAACAAAAATATAAATAAATGGTAAAGTACAGCAAAAGTATGTAACTGATATTGTAACACAAGGTTAATATTAAGCGTAAGGTGATTACGGTAACGTAAAATTAACTTTTCTTCCCCTAAACTCCTTTGTACAGGATTTATTAAATTGTTAAGAAATTGAATTAATACGGATAAAATTTAGTGAAAAATGAAAGATTGTACTGACTATAACGTGAGATAATATTAATTAAAATGTTTGTTGGATTATGGCACATTAAATATTTTAATAAATAATTAAACCGGTATTGATTAAATATATGCAATGAATAATAAATACATTATATTAATTATGTATTTTGTTATTCGCATGATTAAAAAATTATTTATTTATATACAATGCTAAAATCAAATAAATTAGCTATTTTAATATATTCAATGCATTAGCAATGATTGTAGTTAGATAATGCTATATAAATAATTTGCAAATTTAATTTAATTTAATTAAATTTTATGTATTTTTCTTTATTTTCTACAAATTAGTGAAACAGTTAGTTTTTACTTTTCGCTTTTCATCTTCTATCATAATTAAGGCATGGTAAAAATGCAAGTAGCATATTTTGCATTTCTTGTTTGGTTTAAAAGAAAATGCACCTTTTTTCAATGAAAGAGAGAGTTATGCCTTTTTGTTAAAAATTGTATTATATTTACCCGGGCAGGTAATTATGTACATCGTAAATATCTAAACATTTTGGCGACAATGATAGGTGTGTGTAGTCCAGTCTGTCCGACAGTGAGAGGTAAATTTACATTAATTTTTTCCGTTTTGCCGACACCAGACCGTCCATGTCCATTATACGCAGGGGCCGTTATTCAGAGGTATACATATTAAGAAAATCGAATTGTAAAATTTAGTGAAAATAAAATTGTCCAATACTATAGGTGTCCCTTATATGAAGGTGTCCGAAAATAGAGGTTTTACTGCCTTTCTTGTTTTAATTTACACATATTTTAACTCATAAAATGATCAAAATAGGGGCGCATCACAAACAATGCATAAATAGTTTTAAAAATTGTACAAAAAATACGTTCTTTTTAACATACATCATTTCATCTATTGCATTTATTTTTACACTATTTGGTTCATACATAGAAATAAAAAATATTTATGAATATACACACAGACGGAGAATTTGCTTTCAAGCAAACTTTAAAGCCATAGTTCAGTAATACGTAACACTTCCTTTGAGATGCGAGCTGTTAAAATACAGGAAAAAGCCGTAACTCCGTAAAAATTTCGTGAAGCGAATACTAGAAAAAGCCTTGGCTTTATTTATCTATATCCCTGAATAAAACGCAAGTCTTTACAGATTTTAAAATATATAAACATATTTCCGCCAAAAGATTTTATTGTAACACCAAATTATTCTGATAATAATCCAAAATACACAAAACCATGAAAAAGTTAGTCTAATTTAAAAAGTTAATATAAAAATACATAGACCAGAACACATCAATCACTTGTTCTTATAAGTATACCAGGGTACATGATAGAGAAAATTATTTAAAAATTTATCTCTGGAAATATATGTATATTAATAAGTTATATAGTTTGTGATATTTTAGTTTACTACTACAAAGTTCCCCGTTATATTTCAATGTTATTATAATACTAAAGTCAAGTACTACTTTTATTATCTAGTTTCTAATATTAGATAAATAGATTTTGAAAAAAAAACAGTAATAATATAATCAACATATAAACAAACTATAATACAGTTCATACCAAATAAACTTTTGGTCAGGTAAGTAACAGCGCTTTCAGATGGAGCGGACTGTCCGCGACGGACCGTCCACGACTTCGAGCAAGTACCTTATATGAACCATTTTACATGGGCGCGTATATTCCGTCCAGCTGATTTCGTCCGACGGCTATTTTGAAAAATCACGACGGACGGTCCGCTCCATATGAAAGCGCTGTAAGCTTGACCGGCACAGCGTTGCTCACTTTTATATATTTTCTTTTAATCAAAATATTTTAGGAAAGAAAAATAAATTAATTATAAATATATAAACAGTTATTATTTATATTAACAAAACTCACCTTCTTAACAGCACTTTAGGGATATAAACGGTCATTACTACCGCTTTCCCGTTCCAAATATTCTAATAAAGTTGCAGCGCGAAATTTAAATTCCAAATAGTCGGCACGGCGCCGAATATGTCAATGGTTGGCAACAATGAATTTAAAAATTGCGCCTTCGATTACGTAACCAAAAGTTTAATTAATATCAAATATAGACATATTGCACCAATGCTACGACATATGACACTAATATTATTATTAATATGAGTACTAGTATTATTTTAGTTATTAGTTATAACTGATATTTTCTCTATGAGTATCTGTTTAACTATTATCTTACTCTTCCTAATAAGAGATATTTTAATAATAACTTTAATAAGTTAACACATACAGATTATAGAGAAAATAGCAATTCCACCAAAATTATATCTCCAGTAGTTATTTTTCATAATAAATAATTATATTATTAGGTATTTGTATACTTATTCAAATCTTTACATATATTACTGATTCCTAAAATATACCAACTTAAAAAAATTATTATTTTTTTAGGTACAGGGACTACGACACCTCTCTCAACTCCATCTTCCACCGCTAACACCAGTCCGTTTCCCGGTAGCGTTGGAGGAGAACATACCAAGAAAAGTAATTGGCAAGTTATTGAACACTTCGGATCTAAAGAAAAAGGAAGTTTGTCCTCCAGTTTAATTGCTGTAAGTCTAGACAATATTAACAATATCAACAATATTTTATTCTAAATATAATAATTTTCACTCAAGAAAATATGTAAAAAAACCAACAGCCTGTACAATAAAAAAAACTAAAATTATAAATTCTAAAACGCAAGAAGAAAAGTTTTTGAAAAAATTAAAATATATTTTTTAGTGTTATAAATCCGATGATTATTATAATTATTTTATTTGGGGTATAAATTAGGCATTTCAGAAAAATTCAGTTTAAACAAGAAGTTTTGCAAATTAAATTAAATTTTCAGTATTTAAGAATATTAAAGTAATATTCCAGCACTCAAAAAAACATTATCAAAATTCGGTTTAAACAAAAAGTTTTGCAAAAATTAAACTATTTCAGTATTCAAGAATATTAAAATAATGTTCCATCGCACATTATTAAATTTAAGCTTTAGAACATTAAACATACAAACTAATATTTTTCGAACGAAAAATTAACGTTTGAAATACATCTATACGGTAATCGCAATACATATTCCGATGCACGTCATTAATCATGTCAAAATTGACACTAAAGCCTATAAACCTGACTAAATAAAATTTATATAATATATTAATTACATATATTTGTCACCATTCTATATTTGGATTACACATCACAGAGTAAGTTTGAAAAAATTACTTGTATTGAAACTTATACAATAATGAAAATTATATTTATATTTCATAGTGTGTGCTGTGTTTATATTAAACAATGAATATATTATCGACATATATAAAATAATAATCAAAATGGTGTGTTATATTTTACTTTTACATTAAGTAAAATCAAATCATGGATGAAATATGCATAAAATAATCTGTTTTTCATAATACATTTGTAACTGATTTGCTATTACTTGTTAGTATTTATAAAAACCACAAATTATTTTTAAAAACGTGTAAGTTACATAGAAAAATATTATTTTGTATGTTTTAATGTTCTCAAGTAATGTAGAAGAGCCATTGATATCCCAGGGAAGTAGTATTTAGTACTACGCACAAACCGTTTAGTTTTACATTGGTGTTGTGAAATCCTAGAACTCTCCTAGAATCCTTAACTCGACTTAATAATAATGCAATAATTTTTTTTTCAAACGTAACAAAAGTAATAATTTTTGCGACATGATTGACTATATAAAAAAGTAATTTAAAGCCTAGGCATAAAAGTTGCATAAAAATACGAAAATGTACTATTAAACTGACATAAAGTGTCAAATTCAAAGAGCCGTATCCATAGTTTTTCGTATATAATTACATACAAGGTATAACATTTAAATATTTTTATATTATTTGGAATGTTTGAAATTGTTTAAAAAATTATTTGTGGCGTTGGAAAAAAAATATAATGTTCTATTCGGAGTAAAAATAACTTTTTGTTCCTCGGCTGTATGTCAAACGTACAGGCGAGACTGTAATTTTTACTCCTAATAAAACAATCTACTATTTTATTAATAACTAATGTAATATGCCTAGTATAGAAAAATATAGGAAAAATCATTAATAGAAATATTACTAAAAAGTGGCCAAAAATATATAAAGAAAAAAAATTAGTTACCTAGAAGTTTACTATTCTTCCTCGTTACTCCGGTACACTTTCCAAATATAACTAGTCTATACTTGTCGATGCGCTTAAACGAATGCGAAATAATTTTACTTTTTTTACTGTTATTGTCATTATATTTGGCAAATACACCAATATTTGCGTACTTGGCAAGTATGCCATCTTTGTAAACAAGAATGGTGGTAGGCGCTCACACGACGCGACGCGACGTGACAAATAATTGCACAAGTAAACAATTTACACAAAATGGCAAGTATATGTCAATAACAAATGTTTGCCAATACACCAATATTTGCGCACTTGGCAAGTATGCCAGTAAGAAGGTTGGCGCTCACGCGGCTCGACAAGTGACAAATAATTGCACAAGTAAACCACTCTCACATGGCATGTTTATGCCAATAACAAATGTTTGTCAAGTACACGAGTCTGTGTCTGTGTCCGGTTTAACGGCGAACTCTGACGGCTCGTGTACTTGACAAATATTTATTATTGGGATATATTTGCCATGTTGTGTAAGTGGTTTCCTTGTGCAACTATTTGTCATTCGTGAAGCCGCGGCGTGAGCGCCGAGCTTGTTTCAAAAAAATATGTTTACGAACATAGTATACTTGCCAATTATTGGTGTACTTGCCAAGTACACGGGTCGTTAGAATCCGCATTAATATTGTTGTAGTTGACAAGTACACAAGTCGTCTGATCTCTGTTTAATGATACACATTACAAATATATACGAGAGATCGCTCTTGCATATACAGAGTATTATAAAAAAGAATACATCAATACTACGTAAGTACGCTAACCTGTATATTAAAACAACATATATTTCAACATATATTCAACAACGAATATCAATCCTATAAAATATTGATCTTTAGTGAATATTTGAAATTGGTAAAGGTTTTAGCCATTTAGCGTTATTTAAAAAAGTATACATATTATATCTGGCAGTTTTTTTAGTCCTAAATATAAATGCTTATTTTACTTTCGCACATTTCCTAAACAAAAATTTCTGCTATTCACACATCAGTAACGGATTGCAATGCAAATGTCGCACGGGGCTTTGAATATAGAAATGTCATTGCACTCACCGTCCCATTGTTCCACAAAACGAAAGCAAAAACAAAAACAAATTATCCGGCGAAAGCGGTTTGATGTAGAAATCGTGTATGCTATCGAAAAAGGCGGCATGGCATCGTATTTGGTGGTCTAAAAAAAGTCATTTATTTTATGAAATACTCGTATAGTTGCAGTTACGACCATTTAATTCGGTAGAAGACCAGTCAGTGATAAGCTAGTTTCCGTATAGATTCTACGCAATGACATGTTACGAAAATTATTTTTTTATTGTTTAAATTACTGTTTCATTGATTAAATCTAAGGATTTTTCAAAAAATGAATTATTTATTTTGAACTGAGCCTATAAAAAATCTTTATTTTCTAGCATAAACCATCTTAGGTTGCTACAGCACAGTAATATGCTTTATAGCGAAAATTTTGATATTACTTAGCACAAATACTAAAATGGAGACTTACGTAAAAATTCATAGTAAAAAAATACAGAAATCTGCATGATTTAAATGTTAAAAAGATTGAAACTAATTAATACATTTGCCATAAACTAATCTCTAAACTACACTAAGCCCGCGGATACATTGGACGCGGGTCCGTGCGTTTTTTTATACGTGCGAGCTCTGACGGAATTAACTCGTACGACTATTTTATTATAGTGGTTACATTAGATGCGCGTTCATGGTGTCCTGTGTGTCGAGTTTGTCAAATCAAGCGCCACTACTTTGATGCTTTATGGGACATAATGTTAAAATAACTACTCATGAAAGAAGAAAATGTTGGGTTAATGATTTATATGCAAGAAGAGGAGAAGAAAATAAATATGTAAAACATTTAGTGAATTAAGACAGAAACCGGTCAATTTTTTTGAATATTTTAAAATGTCTCCATCAACATTAATAATATATCCCAAATAAAATTAAACCTAGTATACAAAAATACTCAAATTTTTCGGGAATGTATTGGTAAATGAACTTGCTACCAACAATTTACAATTTTTTTAATTATCATTACTTTTTGATGATATTTTTTTTATATGACGAAGTAGCATAGGTGACTACTGTCGTAATGTCATATTGACAATTACATGTTTTATACCTACAATTGAATATGGTTCCTAGTGCCGAAGATTGTACAAAAGCCGTTGCTCTTATTGAAGATGTGCGAAATTATGAATATGTCGCTAGGTTAATACACTCATCGCTCTATGATAAAAAAGGTAGTGGAACGTTTTAGACAAACTAGCCAAAATAAGCGTAAAGCTGGTAAAGCTATAGATGATTGATATATCAGAATCAACGCATTACGGGACCGTGTTCGAGACGAGAGTGTAATTGTATTAACAGTTTGTCGAATTGTAGGAATTGCAAAATATTGGTGGCCAGTTCAGTTCGATCTTAAAAATTAATCAAGGCATTTGTTCATATGAAAACAAAATAAAATGCTCAGGGAACATGGTTCTGACCGAAAAATTATGTTTCAGGAAAATTGAAAGTTTATAATAAACTGAGTTTATGAATTACAGTTAATATATTTATAAAGTTTGTTGAAAAAAATCATGAAAATAGGGCTAAAATAAAAAAAAATATACCACTTTAAATTTGACGAAAAAATTCCGTTGCGTTTCTTATAGTCTAAGAGCTAACAACGTTTTCGAAAAAGTGTTTTCAGAAAGCTGGCTCTTTGATATATATCTTTTACTATGCGCTATTGAACAGCATGCGGCCCATCTACCTACCGACACCGGTTGCGTTCACTACTGCGCATCGGAAGAAGATCCTCTTTTTTATTTAGTCTGTTAAATTCTAGTATTGAATATAAATCGAATAAGTCTCCATAGCGTAGCGTGTAGAATTTCCAACTACGAACCGAGGATTCAGAGTTCGAGACCGGGTCAGGGCAAAACCTTTTTTATTTCATTTTCGTTTATATTGTGATAGTAAAGTATTAAGTATTTGTTTTTTTTAATCACCAGAATTATTTAATACTTTACAATCAGAATATAAACGAAAATAAAATAAAAAAGTTTTTGTCCTGACCCGGTCTCGAACTTTGACACCTCGCTTGATAGACGAAACCTCTACGCGCTGAGCTATGGAGACTCGGTCTATTTATATTCAATACTAGGATTTAAAGGACTAATAAAAATATAGGATCTCCTTTCAATGCGCAGTAGGGAACGCAACGTTTACCGGCAGCCAGACGGACCGCATGCTGTTCCAGAGAGATCGTAAATAGTAAACGATATATTAACTAAACGAAATAGCGATCGGTAGCGATGAAGAATACTGTTGCTTGGCGTTTAGTTTGTACGGCCAAGGGCAGTATTCTTTATCGCTACCGATCGCTATTT